TCAGATATTTCGAGATATAATTCTGTAGCATCATAATCTGAATTGTAGAACTCCGCTAAATGTATACATTTTATTTTCAAATTATAATTTTTTTTATTATAAAATAAATCTTTCTAATTTTTATTATATAATAAATTTTTCAAGTCAAGAAGGAACCCGAATTTTCGATGAGCTTCATTTATCATGCGAACTTGACAATTGAAAACGTGCCCTCTTCGTTTTAACATATTCAAATTGATGACCAAAAATTGTTCAAACACTAACAAGATAAGGCGCATTTTGAAAAAAATTTGCCTTTAAACAAAAAATTATATTAATTTAGGCGCCCAAATACCAAAGACCACTATTTATATCTATTTCCAAATCGAGTATTCACAGACTAAGATATATTTTAGCTAAATAGATAATTTTAACCAAAATATTTCGTTTATATTTTGCTTAAATGTTTTTAATAATCTTTGTTAGATATTACTTTTTATAGAACAATTTCAAAATGGGCCCCTTAAATGTAATTATTGATGAAAATCACAGCATGTTTGGCGTTAGTTAACTTCCAATTCAACTTCTTGATTTTTCAAACGGTTGATCATTTTTAAGTTTCTTGGGTTCAAAACCAAATTTTTGTTTATTTTATGCATGATATAACAAAAAAGCTTTTTTCGGTATTCATATTTCATGTTTTTTATATTGATCTTTTGATGATCGAACTTTTTATTGACTTGATTCAAACAACCTTCCATAGAAAGTGGTACATCGATGCTAAACTAAAAATCTTTAAATAGTTCAGTCAGTATACTTTTATAAAATAATGGTATTTATTTCATAACGTTAAAAATAATTTATTTGGTGATGTTATTGTTAATGCATATTTCATAGTGTGATTACTAATTGATGATACAAATTATTAACAAATTTTAGCAACAGTTCAACTGAAAATTCTATCTGAGTTTAATTTTGACAAAATCTAAACACTGCAAAAATATCTATCTAAACATTAACGATCATTTTAATTATTGATTAATTTATACGTTATAAATAGAAATTTATTAACTTTTCCTCTCTTGAAATGAACCAAATTAACAACAACAACAAAAAAAACAATAAATAGCAACAACAAAAACAACAACAAAAACAACAACAGTAGCTACAAAAACAACAACAACAACAACATTAACATAAACAACAAAATCAACACAATCAACACATAAACTAGACAGCAACGATGACAGCACTAGAAAAAACATCAACATTAAAGAGCAACAACACAACTAACAACAACAATAAACAACAACATCAACAGATCGACTTCAGTGAAGCAATAGATGCGTGGTTGAAAACAGTATACAGGCGCAAGTACATCAAATGTTGTCGACTCTCTGCTCATAAATCGATTCTGTACATCACAAACTATTCTAAACCAGAGACATGTTTTAAATGCAATCCTTTATGGTGTCTGCTCTGCGGTCCATGTTGGTTTTTGTCTGCTCCGTGTTACAAGGTTGGTTTTTACCAATTATTTGTTTAAGTTGATGAAGTAATATATTTGAAGAATGACTATTTGAAGAATTAAAATACACAACTCTGAAGGGCAATTATATAGCTTATAATCACAACAGAACAGCCGCTTCCAATTTTCAATTGCACAGCGTACGCGGCTAGACGATGCTCGCAGAATAGAATGAAGATGCCTTTAAGTTATAACAATAATTACATCACTATTACGTACCAAGTTACTATTGCAACATGATTTGTGCACGTTTGATTGTTAACAATGCTACCGCAACAATAATTATCATACTCACTACTACTAAACCAACAACGCAAGCAATGACACAACAACATCACAACGGTTACAATGTAATCGTTTTTTATTGATGTATGGTTACTACTGATTCTTTTAGCTTTAAATTACAAATACCAAATTACTTATTTGATATTAGTCATCAGATATTTTACAGCAAGTGTGAACAAATTTTATATTTGTTTCTTGGGTACTTTATTGTCTGAATACTGGCTGAAGTTTTAAAATATGTAGACGTTTGTTGTGTGTTAGGACTGATTTTTCAGGTTCTTTCAAGCAATAATTTTTGTCTCAGCTATTTTCGACAAAGCGTGAGTAGTTGCGGCCACTAAACTGCTAAATAATGTTTCGTTAATACTAGTTTTAATCACACGTGAATAATCCAAATAGTGTTACAGAAAATGCAAATGTCACGACGTAAAAGTGACTATTGAAGCACCAATTGTTAGGAGAACTGTGGCCAGTAACACGGGAAGAGTAATTGAAGTTAACAGATAGATGAAATTCGTTGAAAGGTTAATTTTTTTAATTCTTTTTACACTTATAATTTTTTAAAAATTTGACTGTAAAATAAAGTATTAAAAAAAGTTATGCAATAAGTTTGTTTTGAATAATTTTTCAAATGAATAAAGAATCGGATCCTGAGTGTCTGTATTAAAGGGTACAGGGTAAAGTGTTCTCTACATTACAAATACGTCATATTTTCTACGTTAAAAAGTTGCGTGATTTCTTGACTGCAGAGTGCCAAATTGATATTTTAGCAACATCAGAGTACAAAAAATTACTTACACTTGGCTGCTTCATAAATAAATTAAATAATTAAATATGAACATTTGAAGACAGCTGAAAATAATTTGGTATATGATTGAATGAGAGAAATTAATTTTATAGCGAATGTGGAAAATGAAATAATAAAAAGTTTTATAAAAAAAAGGGTATCAAAGATAAAATTAAATGCCTTTAATCGATTTTCAGTCTAAAATAAAAAACTAACAAAACGTACCGATGTTATCAAAAGCGGAAAAGTCTGGAAATAAGAAATATTTTCAATGTCAAAAACTTTGTTGCTATAATATAAACGTTTCCATGTTGTTAACTACAGTTTTTATATAAGCGTGTATGTGTGTATGTATGTTTGTGTTTATGTATGTATGTGTGTATTTATGTATGTTTTGGTACACGTATACGGGTATTTTTGTATCTTTTGTATATATGTATGTATGTACATATGTATTTATGTCTGTCAGTCTGTATGTATGTCTGCATGTATGTATTTATAACTGTATTTATGCATGTATGTACGTACGTACGTATGTATGTATGTATGTATGTATGTATGTATGTATGTATGTATGTATGTATGTATGTATGTATGTATGTATGTATGTATGTTTGTATGTTTGTATACATGTATGCATGTATGTATGTTAAAACCAAAACATGATGAGTGACACTGAACCGTCAAACATCAAGTAACAAATGGATTAACACTTAGATTTGTCGTTAATTGCACATGTCGGCATTCAGTTGAATATTTTCAAGCACACAGACACGCAGGAACCGCTGCAACAAGCACGAAATGTGGTTAGTTGCGAAAAACAGTTCCCTGCTGTCGCCTGATCTGACGCTGATCATTTTACATATTGCCTTAAGAAATTTAAGGGTGTTGGGGTCCATCGGGCCGAGAACCTCGATATATATTGGCAAGAATTTTATCGAGGGGAGGGCGTTCCCATATTTTTTCATTTTCCCGTCCGCTGCCCTGGCCGCGGCCAAACCGCATTCTTCACTTGTCAGGTTTACATCCCACGCCAAACATCTGCCGGCTCTCCAAGGTATTAGTGTGCATCCGTCCGGGCGCCTACCACCATGCGCAGAAATGCCGGATGGTTCCTTGAGAACCAGGATTGAAGCCTTGGAGAAGAGCCGACAAATGTAGTCGTTTAATGCTGAGTGACGTAGTTGACGGCCCCCACCCAGGCGACAAACCAAACCGTGGTGCCCAAACTCGTCCGCCTCAGCGCCACATCGGCACGTGTATTTATTTTGAATGACCAGGCCAAGTCTGAAGCCAATGGCAAATCTCACAGACTCGTCGTCAAGCCTGGTGCCCACAGAGGTGTTGGGCCACGATCTCAACCACCCACAGTTGGCAACGCTGGACATGGCCAACAAACGAGCGGTGGAAAAGTCGCCGCCGCATGAAGACAACAAATTTTGAAAGATTTTTTTATATTCTTCGTTCAAAATTTGGACGTGCGTACGGTCCCCCGGGGCGGACACTGGGGGAAGAATATCGCGGCAACGAAAAAACCGGTGGAGCAGGGAAGACTGCAGGTCGAGGGTGGCAGCGGCATAAGAATTATAAACAACAGGAGCCAGCTGAACCACGCTAAGCAACCCCAGCCCACCAAATCGCACCGGCAGCTGAGCCTGGGACCAACCACTGTCGGTCACTTGAACATTGCAAATCGACGACAGGGCGGTGTGCAGGGCTCTGTCAAATTCGCCCAATTTAGAAGGATCAATGTGTTTGGATGTACGCAGGAAGTACATCAATTTGGGCAAACTGAGGGCATTGCGGATAATAGTCAAGGCATCATGGGCCGAAAGACAGGAAATTTGTAGCTATCGGCCAGAGTTGGGCCGTCTGAAGCAATGCTGATATCATCCAGATAAGCGCAAACGAAAGTGGACGAAGCTTTCTCTAAGAGTGGATGAAGAGTTAGTGCAAACAGCAAAGGACCAAGGGGATCACCCTGCTGTACCCCCTCGGACGATTCTACAACCCAAGAGTGGTAGCTAAGAGAAGAGACTCCGCCATAGGCAGAATGGCAAAAATTATAGATATTGGGGCAAAAAAGTTTGACAGCCTCCAACATCGAGTCTCTTCTCAAGGCGTTGAAGGCATTTTTAAAGTCCAGTTTCAGAAACCCCCATTGATCGGGGAGGTCGGTGACCAATCTTCGAACCGCATGAACGGCGGCCTCAGCGCCACCCTTAATTCCGACACCCAACTGAGTCGGGTAGAATTTGGTCTTGAGTTTGACCATGACCAGGGCCAAGGCACATTTGCCGGCCAACCTCCTCCAAACGTTCCCGACCGCAATCGGTCTGACCCCTCCGTCTTTCTTATTTAAAGCTATTAGCCGGCCTCCAAAGAAGAACCGGCGGACGGAGAGTGGGCAAGCTCCAGATAGGATCAAATTAATGAATTGGGTTAAGGAGTTCAGTGTGTCGTCGATTGGCAAGGGGCCTGAAAAAACATCCTTAAGGTGCTGGGGTCGTAGGCCATCCAGGCCTCCAGAAGAACCGTTTTTGAACGATTTAACGGCCCTCAGCACCTCGGCGGGAGAAACGCAACCAGCCGTTGGTGCTAATGCGGGGAAGATCCGCCTCTCCACCGGAATTTTTGGTTATGTATGTATGTATGTATGTGTGTATGTATGTATGTATGTATGTATGTATGTATGTATGTATGTATGTATGTATGTATGTATGTTTGTGTATGTATATTAAGAGAAATTTATATAAGCAGCACTAATTAAATGTTTTCAAAAGCGCTCTCAAAGTTAAATAAACCAAAAAGTTCAAATCTCTAATAAGTAAAGGCATTTTTATCGGAAATTTCACAAATCTGCCAACTAAATTGTTACTATAATTTTTTTCACTAATATGTTTGTAATTGTAAGGGAGATTGCAACAGCAGACGATGCAGATGTATGAAGAATGGGGTCACATGTGTCTCAGCCTGTGGAATCTGCAATGGAATTACATACAAGAATAGCATTTGATATTGTGAATCACGTATTGCAGGTATCACGCAGTGAATGTTGTGAAGGTAGAGTTTGTGGTAGAGTTTCTGGTTTGATCACACCTGCTGCTGCTGTCCGTGAAAACATGTTGTACAGAATTTCACTCAATGCTTTGTCCATGGTAAATGTACTTGAAAATCGCAATACCAGCATGAATTATTGCCTTTTCTATGGCTTCTGTGCCAAGAAAGATATCCATGTACTTATCAATTTCCCCGGCACTAAACCTGAATTAATACACTAAATTAGGTTCAAGTATAACATAAAAAGTGACATAAATTAAGCGATTTATTTGTGTATGTGTGCAAATGGTAATGTTAGTATTATTATTCCTATCTGTTAAATAGAGTAGTTTTTTCAATTTCAGCAATTGCAGAAACAGTCACATCCCTTGAAGGCATGACTGATTCTAACAAACCATCCATCTTCTCCTTATTATCTGAATAATAAGTAACGCTTCTGTCCATGAGGTAGAGACTCACGGATCATTTTTATGTTTAAGGAGTTAGATGATGTTGTTAGGAAGATTGAGTGATGGCTGCCTGATATTGGCTATGAATTTAGATTTAGATCAGTTAGGGCAACATCATTGCATATAACCTTGATTGCTGTCTTTATGATCTGATTTTTTTGTCACCATGTTCAAGATTAGTTTGATGTTCTTGCAAAATGTTGTCAATGCAATCACAGAGGCAAAGCACATTTGTCTTTTTCCCCTGTCTTGTGAAGTACAACGTGTCTTGATATTTCTCTCTGAGTTTAATTTTTAGCCATAATTTATACATTGAATAGGTGAACATTGAATACTTTTTTTTATCTGGTGACTGATCAAACTCCTGCAGTTTAGTTTGGACTTGGCCAACTGTGGTTATGCCATGCCTTATTTCTAATTCAAACCATTCACAAAACTCGACAAAAACAACTCGTTCCTCATCAATTTTTTTGTCCTCTCTTTCTCTTTCTTTTTCATCATTCTTTAAGTAATGTTCATCTCTCTCAATAAGAAGTTTACAGCGCAAAAGATACAGTGTTTTTTCTGCTACCAAGTTGTTTATCCCCCAGACGTCCAGTGACTTCACTACCAATGCATCTCCACGACGGTATAGCTTATCTGCAGTTATATTGTATGACACTCTGTGTTTCTTTCTAGCTTTAGCTGGGTTATTTTTGTGAAGTTGCGCCGGTTAATTGCAAAGAACGCATACATCTTTATATGGTATTATAATTTTTGGTTTGCCTCAAAATTTTTGTAATGAATTTTTTAATAATTGCTATTCGATAGCCTAATTTCAGTAACTCTTTTTGGCATTTCCCGTTGGAATTGAGTTTCAACATTTTAACCCATGTTAGTATACACTTTCACAAATATAATGGTGAAGAATTTGTTTGGTAACAATTTAGTTGACAGATTTTCATATTGTTATAACTGGCCAGTCGAAAATAGCGACACGATAGATCTTAAAATATCGTTTTATTTACAAATCGGTAATCAATGTTAATCAATAATCAACGTTAATTAATTTTAAATTTTGTCAATGAAAATGAATCTTCACAAACTATCGAATTAATTCAGAAACTATCGCTTTCTGAATAACAATTCACTGACGTTTATCGCAAATACAACGCAGAGTCAAATATCAAATTCCGTTTTCGACACAACCAACCATTCGGTATCCTACACGTCTTTATATACTGACACTTCTCGAACGTCCTAGATATCTCGCTGTCAGGAGGCTCTAGTTCCCTCTCGAATTGTATGCGTTCGTAGCGACACTCGCGCCTCTAGCGAATAAATTCGTGACGGTTATAACCTTTTCCTTACTAACTGACATCATTCACAACAAAAGAGACAACTTCAGCACGATCCTTTTTATAACCGCGTATATTATTGTTGTTATTTTTCTCAGTATTTTTCCTAAACCTTTTATATTTTTATCAGTATTATTGTTGTTATTACGAAAATAAAGTTAAAATATTTTATTTAAAAAAATTTCAGTGAGGTATCGTCATCAGACGTGTAAGGTGAACGATCTCAATGCAGTGCTGTCATGGTTCTCTCCTGTTTTAATTTTCCCCTCACAGTTAATTATATTATTTTATTATAACGCTCACCACTTGGTGTATCGTTATAGGGTTGAGTTTTAATGTTAGCTCGTTATAATGAATTGAATTTGTATTGTTAATAATACAAAATAAATAGGTCGTCACCTTGTCTGTTTTTCATCGTTAATTCACACAAAACATTTACGATGTTATAAAATTAACTTTCGATTTTTTGCAGCTAGTTAATTAACTCATCTAACTGTTCGAAACTACATATTTTTCAAAACCACCTAACTAATCTATCACACGACGACCCATACTTATAATCCATTTGACATGCTAACTCGTTGCACGACATATGTAAAGCACATCATACAGTAGTAAGTAACAATACTGTCATTGTGTTGTGAATTAGCTGTGTTTCTCGTTTAATTAATTAATAAATTAAAAAGTTTAAATTTTTAATTAATATATTAAAGATGAAAAAATATGTTGTTTAATTTCTCTATTTTATTGTTCGTGGGAATGTTTGTATTTATGTTATAAATGTCTTAATACTTGTTTTGTTTATTACTCCATGTTAAATGACCAAAAAGTTTTTAAACTAAGTTAATTTGTGAAAACTTATAAATCATTTCATACAGATTTTTGTAACATATTTATATTAATGCATTCTTTCATTTCAGAACGGTAAAGTTTTTTAAGTTTTTTATTGTTTTCTTTTACCTGCAACCAACAACAGGTGTTCATCCGCTTGTAACTATGATGTTTTCAGAGAGATATTTGTTTTGCTATTCATTTTTTTTTTGTTTTTAGGCGGCATATATATATATATATATATATATATATACATATATATATATATATATATACATATATATATATATATATATATATATATATATATATATATATAGTATAAATTACCGAATTGTTTACGTTAATCAATTTAAAATTTGTCTTAAAGTTACTCAATACTTATAAATACACCTCAAAGCTTAAATTTTATAAATAAAATGACAAATCTAATAAAAACAAATAGTAATGGATTAACGCAGAAGTGGGCAAACTTTTTGCTGTAAGGTCCACACTGAGCTGATCTTTGTCTAAAAGAACTTGTGCACGTGTTTATACTATATAATTGTATATGACGGATCATATAGCTACATAATATATATATACATAGAGATACATAAGCGCATAATTTAAGAACATGTTATGTTAAAGGTTAGGCTAGGCATACATGACACATAATAACAACATCACTAATTGTGAGGTGAGCTGGACAATTTTCTTTGAGCTATAACATGGGTTATGCATACATTATAAGCTGATCTTTGTGTAAAAAAATTTGTGCACGTGCATATATGACACATAATATTAACATCACTAATTATGAGATGAGCTGGACAATTGTCTTTATGCTATAACATGGGTTATGCATAAATTATAAGCTGATCTTTGTGTACAGAATTTGGCGTATCACACAGCCGGTTTTTGAATTTTAAATCTGGCCAAGTCCGGCCCCGGCCGGATTTGAAAAACCTGAATCCGGTGCATCCCTAATATATATATACATATATATATCATTAGGACCAGAAGCGTAGCTTATTTGGCTATTAAATAAATAGGAACAGCAAAAACATAAAATAAAATGAAGTTTATACCATACTTCTGAAAATTTAAAGTTCATTAAGAACGTTTAACCGTCCTGAAAACCATTTGAAATGAAATTAGAACAACAGTTAAACAAAAGCAAAAGTGAGATGAGCTGATTTCAATTTATATAAAAACTTAAATAGATTAATGGAAAATAATAATGATGATAATCTATATAAAAATTATCGTGTAAAAATGATTACAAAATTAAAAGAATGTTAAAGATCCATGTAACACGTAAACACGCCCGCGCTTTCATCACACTTACATGTTTGCATATAAATACCATAGAATTATTACATGTAACATAAAATACTGATATAAATTGAAATTAATTAAAAGGAGAAATTATTGATTTTTTAAATGAAGATAAGCTAGAGAGCATTTTCAGTTCAGATGGTAACAATGACTATAATTTGATACCATGGACGAAGATCGAATGGGCTAAGTATAGTTCTAAAAGGATAAATATAAAATTCACATGTACGTCTTGTAACTTTAGAAATTATTTTAGTCGACTTATGTAAAAAAATTGAAAAACGGATATATTATTAGAATTATAACTTTATATAAAGACATTAATATTCGAATTGTATGTATTTGCTGGATTGAGTGAATTTTAGAAGATATAAAATAGGAAGTAATATGAGAAAATTCAAGCAGTTCAAAAAGAATTTTAATAAAGCCTTTTTTGGCATTTAGTTAGTAAAGAAATATGGAAATATATGTTCTTACTTCATATAATAACACAATATGTAATATAGAGATAGACCAAGGATTATCTTATATGAAAATAAAAATTTTAATTTATTGATTACACCAAAACTTTTATAAATTTTTTGCAGTGAAATCTTTATGTTTTTTCCAGTTTAAATTACTGGTAATAATTATTCCTAAAAATTTTGAAGATGATATCCTAGGAGTAAGAATTTCATTAATGCCAATCTTAAAATTAATAAGAATAGTAATTATTGGCCCAAAATGTGTGCAATTAGTTTTTGCTAAGTTTATGGTTTAGCAATTGCAGACTGTCCAATCGCAAACCTTTGTTATGTTTTTGTTGAGAAATTGAACAATAAAGAGCAAGGTAGTATCGTCAGCGAAAAGATGAATTTTAACTTGGAAGAGGATGCAGTAAGATCATCGATTAAAATATAAGAAAAGTGGGCCAAGCATTGAACCCTGGGGAACGCCGCAACTTATTGGCAGAGTTGAAGAATTATAATTTTCGATTGAGACAAATTGGGACCTTTCATTTAGATAACTAGTAAACCAGTTTAAAATAAAACCTCTTACCCCACTGTGATGAAGCTTTTTAAAAAGAATATCATGCCAAACAGTATCAAAAGCTTTTGTAATTTACACACACACACACACACACACATATATATATATATATATATATATATATATATATATATCTATGTGTGCTGATTAAAGACCATAAATAATGCAGTAATTTATGAAATCTACTGAATTTCTAGCATTGGATAGTTTTTTTATTACATTTCTCAATATTTCTAACCAAATTTTTGTCGTCATTATTTATTTTATCAAAGTTAGAATAATAGTTTTAAAATTCATTCTCGATTTGCATGCTCTTTGATAGCACTTTGGTCGATGTAAATTATACCAATAAAAATAGCTGTTAGCTTTATATTACATAATTTATAAACTGATTTGTTGTTTTATTCACGATTGACAACATTGCTGTGTAATAAAATTATTGTAGAGAAAAACGTTCGTACTTGAAGTATTATTAGTATTTAGATCGAATAATTATATTTTAATGTAGGCCTATCTATGTTTTAATGTAGTTTTCACGGAAGCATATTACATTACATATGACAATAAAAAAATGGTTTATATTTATTCTTGTCGTTGTGAAACACAAAATTGAACCGATTTTTTCAAATGAGACAAAATAGTTTGCTAATGTCGCACAATGAAATATTTTTTAATTATATTACGAGGTAATACTTTTTTATTTCACAGAATTTATTTTATTTAAAGATTCACAAAAGTCTTTATATGTTTTCAAAAAACATCAGCCTTTAATCTCACTCCAAAAAGAATTTTTATATTTTATTATTATTGTGTCCATCTGTTTTAGTCAATTAAGTCAACTAAAAAAATTAAAAATAGTGTACTTATATTAATTATATTAATTCAAGATAAATTTATAATGCTTTAGCCAAAGAAGTAATAATTAATATAATCAAGAAAGTTTGAAACACCCTATTATGTAAAGTACCTATGTTCTAGACCATATTATGTAGAGCAACGGTTCTCAACCTGTGGTCCGCGGACATTTGCCTGGTGGTCCGCGAGCAAAGTGTGAAATGCAAATATTTAAAATATTAATTTTAATACACCTATAGTCAAGTGTTGTAACTGAAGTTCTCTAAGTCTAATAGTTATACTAAAAACTATGTTATAATAACTATGTGTAGTTATTACGTCATTATATGAAATAATAATTTTATTTATATAAATTTCTGTTGAAAACCGCTGATGTAGAGTGTTGTGTTACGTTTTGACGCCAGTTTGCTATCGTGTTATTGCGTCGAACATCCCATCTACATAGAAACAGGGAACTAACGGATCACTGGTTTGATGCTCACGTATAATAATAACCTGAAACAAAATTGCTGATAATCTACTCACTTGGGGTATTTTAACTCTAATAATGTTATGCGCTAAATTATTGTAAACATTTTTTTTTCTTCGCTACAGTCGGTGGTATCAGCTCTCAGCTACTGTCAACATTTTAAAGTAAACGGGTTGAATAAGTCGCGGAGTTCTGCAATCTCTGATGTGTGGTTCTTGAGCGATTGCTGAATATTACTCTATAATTGGCAACTAATAATATGGCTTTCAGAGGTTCTTCTGATAAACTATATACATTTAATAATGGAAAACTTTTAGAACTGGTACAATTACTCGCAAAACTCGATTCTATAATGTTGAACTACGTCATGCTAGCTCTTAAAGAAAATATTTCTGATCACTACTGTGGAAAAACTATTCAAAATGTAACAAACATAATTATATCCAAATCTATACAGACTACATATTATTCTATTATTGTCGACTGCACTCCTGACATACCTAATAAAGAACAGTTTTCGCTCACAATTAGAATTGTAAATATATCAGAATATCCTATAAAAATAAATAAACATTTTCCTGGTGTTTTTTTGCTAACGACTATTGCTATTGCAAACGACTCAACAGGTCTTAGTTTAAAAGAAACCATAATTGGAGCCTTAAAAGAATTTGGACTGAACATAAGCCTTTGTAAAGAGCAAGGGTACGATGATGGCGCAAATATAAAAGGAAAAATATTGGTCTTTTGATTTAAACCTTCCCCGTGGAAGCCACTCTCTCAATTTAGTTATTGGTAATGCTACACAGTCTTCACACAATTCCGTTAACATTTTTGGAATTATACAAAGATTATTCACTTCAATTTCTGCATCCACTTCTCGTTGATATTTATTTAGCCATGTAACAAATTTCACTCTTAAAAGATTATTTGATACCCGTTGGAAAGTCAAAATTGAAAGTCTCAAAGCAATCAGATAGCAAATAAGTAGCATGTATGATGCTTTAATTACTATATATGAAACTGATACCAAAACTCCTGATATTGCACACGAAAAACTTACATTCCCCTTACAAAAGATTATAGTTTTC